GATTTAGGACTAGACAGAGATTAGATGGCTTGAGTGTAGGGCTGTGAAACCATTAATCGCATCTAAAATAAAAGTTTGTGTTTACATAATATATGTGTGTGTATAATTATTTTATATATATAAATACACACATATGCATATATATATATATATATTTAAGAAAAATGTGTTATTAATATATTAAATATTTATATTTGTGTATAATATTAATTTTGTGTAAATTAGGGCTTTCAAAGGATTAATCGCGATTAATCGCATCCAAAATAAAAGTTTGTGTTTACATAATATATGTGGGTGCACTGTGTATAATTATATATATATATATATATATATAACACACACACATTCTTGTATATATTTAAGAAATATTTTCATGTATATATATATTTATATTATATATAAATATTTTATATATAAATAATATTTTTTTCTTAAATATACATGCATGTGTGTGTATTTATATATATACAAAATAATTATACACAGTGCACCCACATATTTACATTATGTAAACACAAACTTTTATTTTGGATGCGATTAATTGCGATTAATCGTTTGACAGTCCTAGTATAAATATATATAAAGTATATACATGCAAATATTTCGTAAATATACATGCATGTGTGTGTATTTCTATATACAAATTAATTATACACACCACACACACATATATTCTATGTGAACACAAACTTTTATTTTGGATGCGATTAATCGCGATTAATCGTTTCCCAGCCCTACTTGAGTGACCCATAAACATAGAAAACAGGCGAAATCAAAATGTTAAATATCTTCCAACAAAGCACAATAAATTAGGAACGTTGAACAAAATGGCTTCGAAGACAACAAAATGAATAAAGTGCAAATAAATTTCACATTGACCATCTAAAGTATCACATTTGTTTGGCGGAAACTCACCTCTGGCCCAAACTAAAGAGTAAAAGATCAGGGATAAGGCAGCTTAATATATATTTGATCACGTCCCTTTAAAACATATGCAGGGTTTCAGGACACAGGTCTTTGTTTAAAGAGGTTATAATAGGGACACATTTTAAACAATTTCCTGGAAAAACTGCGTTTGATCACAGGTTGAATCGGAGAACATTCAAGGTAGCTACTTTCCATTACGTGTAACACTTGTTTTCTGAGCATGTACAAAATAATACATTCCCAAACCCTCTGACAGACAGGGTTTCATTACATTTGATGGGTTTTTCTGTCATGTGATCAGCTCTGGTTGAGGAATAGTTCACCGCAAAAATGAAAATGAGTCATTTATTGTTTTTTTTCTTTTTTTTGTGGAACACAAAAGTAGATATTAGGTCAAATGTACAAATGTTTTCCATCCAAAAAGACGCTATATTCCAGTCTTCTGAGGCCATACTATATTTTAGGAACAAAATAAATTTTTTTTAATTAAATTTAGGGCTGCCAAACGATTAATCGCGATTAATCGCATCCAAAATAAAAGTTTGTGTTTACATAATATATGTGTGTAGTGTGTATAATTATTTGATATAAATAAATACACACACATGCTTGTATATATTTAAGAAATATTTTCATGTATATACTGTAGATTTATATATAATTTATATTATATATAAATAATTTTTATACAAAATAATTATACAGTGCACCCACATATATTATCCAAACACAAACTTTTATTTTGGATGCGATTAATCGTTAGACAGCCCTAATTAAATTATTATAAATTAATACAAAATTTTCATACTGTACATCTTGTGGTGCATGACTTTGCTTTTAGCATTTAAAAAGTCTTAGGTAGTCTTAAGTATTTTTTTAATTATAACATCAATAATTACCGTCTTATCATATCGGCCTGAATTTTAATATACTTAAACTTTTATTCAAAAGTTTGATCGGCAAGATGTTTTACCGTTTTTAAAACATCTCTTCTCTGCTCGCCTAGGCTGCATTTATTTAATAAAGACAGTAAAATTGTGTGATATTATTACAATTTAACTGCTTTCTATATTAATTTTTTGTCAAATGTAATTTATTCCTGTGATCAAAGCTGATATTCAGCATCATTACTCCAGTCTTTTGATAATCAAGAAACATTTCTGATTATTATCAATGTTGAAAAAAGTTGTTCATATAGAAATTGATATTTTTTTCAAAATTGAAATATTTTGACATAATAAATGTATTTACTGTCACTTTTGACCAATTTAATGCATCATTTTATTTTTTTTTAATACCGACGGTAGTGTATATGGTCCTTTTTTCCCCATTTTGAAACAGAATATATCCCTGTATGGACACACATTCTGCCTAACATCTCAAATTTGTGTTTCACTAATAAAATAAATGTTCATTTTTGGGTGAACCTAACAAGAGGCCTTTGGACTGAACTCTCCAGAGATATTAAAGCTTGGGTTGCTCATTGTAGACCAGTGCTAAATATAATAAGTCAAGGAGTTTTCTATGAATGATGTATCTGCAACACTACAGTAATATATGCAAAGAAAAGACCTCAGTTTGACATTCTGCGACCCCTTCAAAGTGCCTCAAGCAAAAAGTGCTTCTCTCGGTTCAGAAATGTTCTCACGTAAAATTTGCACTTATTGCCTCAGTTGTGACGTGGCCATTGTGTAGACACTTCCACTGATTTTTTTTTGCCATAGCTTCCCTGGATCTACTAAAGCATGTCTTATGTACAGTACACGAGCCCTGTAACTAAACATAATGCTGTTCTGTAATGCATTACAGGGCGTCTAGTCTATTTCGGTACCTCTTTAATCACTCTGTGTACTTCCTTGGCAACCTGCCCCTTCTACTCAGCCGTTCATCCAATCCAGTCTCGGTTGCATAAGCTCCTCCCCTCAGTGAGACATTGTGGGTGTGTCCCGACCCCCCATCTGTGTACTGTATCCATTGGCTGACTGAGGCATTCCCTCGTGTCCTTCATACTCGGCCTTGACCGGAGCCGCGGGTTTGCGGGAGCGCGAGGACCGGCCGGTGAACAGGCGCAGGGCTCCTCTGCAGATCAGGGAGAACCAGTAGAGCTGCGGGGCCATGAGCAGAGCCGCTCCCAGATTACACTGCCAGGGCACCACAAAAGGGACCCGGTAGAAGGGAATCGAGGCGTACCTGGAAAAGAGGAAATGGACAGAGAATGTGGACGAAAACTAAAGAAATTGAGTTGCAGTCAAAAACCTAAAAAGACTGTGTTTCTCCCTAAAGATGGTTTCGGAATCATTGTCAACTCAGGTCGGGAGTTAGGAAAAGGAAGGAAGTTATAGGAATAGTTATGAAAAGATATTATTTACTCACCCCCATGTTTATCCAAACCCATATGCTGTTATTTTTCAGTGCGACC